CATTTAGTAGAGGGGTCCTCCAACAAGTCATTTTGGACCATGTAAGCCAGGACCAGTCTTAACCCTCCCGAGGACAACTCTGCTTTCCTATATCCCATCCTGACCTGTCGCAGCCTTACAAGGAAAAATGGGTGTTGTTTACCCGAATGCCACCTTTCCTTGTTAGGCTAGACAGGTCAGCCTCACCCTAGGGGAAGATTCCTTTCATGGGACCCAAGAGAAGGGGTCCTGCTAATATTCTTGTTTTTTCTTTTGCCTTTATTAGAGGCAATCTGGTCTGTCACACTGACTTCACAGAAACTGGGGAGGAGTGGGCAGAGATAGGCTAATAAGCCTTTTGCACAGACTCAGTCCTAAGCAGCTAACAAAGAGTATCACCCCATCCTGACCTGTCTTGCCTAACAAGGAAAAGTGGCATTCAGGTAAACAACGCCCATTTTGCTATACTATTATCTGTGGATACCCCCATGAAATGCAAGCATTGGATAAACTGAGCCTGGTTTGTTCTCAGTCTTTTATGTGGCCACAACTACTAGCAAAAGTGGCATTTGATCACAAGGTGACGAGACATCAAGAAATGTTTCTCTCGGTGGTTCCGGTGGTGACGTTGCGGCGGTGAGGGGAATGAAGGATGGGCTTAGTTGCTTAGCCCTGAATCTACAAGTTTGGAGGCCCCTGTGAGGGCACTCAAGTCTTGGAGGGATTTGTGGATGAGTAGGGAAACCCAAGGAGCAGCGAAGGGGAGGGCGATTATCCGCTGCAATGAAGGGATACCCTTTTATTCCAATGTGCAAGCATCTGTCATTTTTTAAATGAGACCTGAGATCGAGACAGCCTAACTGAAAAAGGAAGGGAGGAATTGGATAACAGACTGTGGCATTGAGTGTTTTATTTTGAACTTTAAAGCTGAGAATGATGGAGAGTGTTATCGGAAAAGGAAAAGATCACAGATCATGAAGGGTAGAACAGTGAGTCTCAGAAAAAATCAGGCCTGAGCTCAATAAGTGGGTGGTAATTTGGCAGTGGTGATAGCGGTGCTTGAAAATGAAGGATTTGCCCAAGCCAGTTAATTTCTGCGAGTGGATTGAACAAATGGACAAATGAGAAGAATAGAAGCAGACAGGTTTAAGATACTTTGACTCGAAGTGAGGAAGAGTCTGGGAGCAGGTGCCTAAGGAACTTGAGGAACTGATTGCTTATTCTTCAGTGGCGTTAAGGACAGAGAAGAGCAGAAAGAAAGAAACGGAAGTGGCTGATGCAACAGACTGCTGAGTCTACATAGAACAGAACAACTTACGTTATACAATAAAGGTTTAATTGACAATCAGAGGCTAATTAATGTTAGGAATAATTAATTGAGAAGGTGTTTAATGAA